GAACAGAAAGATAAAGGTTTTGGGGTTTTTGTTTTTTTTTTTTTTTTTTTTTTTTTTTTCCCTAATCCATACAGGATGAACCTGCTTTCATGTTGGTGGCAACCTACTGGAGCCTTCACATCTCCGACATAGTACATTACTGGTAAGGAGGCAGAAAAGGGTTACGTGTAACCAGCGTTCAGGCTGGAATCCAGGTCAGGTTCTGGCTGCCTCCCCTCCTTTTTGTGTAAAGTTACAGCTTGACTTCTCAAGCTCGAGGTGACTGAGCTGTGCAGTGAGGGACTCGCTCAAGCCAGGGGCAGTGGCAAAGTCTGGTCACTGTATTTAAATTTTTTAAGCAAGAGTGATACCTTCCTCCCCCTCACCCTGGCGTGAAGAATTATAGCAGGGGACAAGGCTCTTTAATTGTTTTCTTAATGTCTTTTTTTTTTCCCCTTCCCTTAATTACTGTTGTTCTGTTAGAGATACGAGACTGAGACTAGTACAAAACTGAAAATACATATTGCTCCTGTGGTTGGTAGAAGCTGTGTGGATGTGGCTTTTGTACACAGGAAACTGAACTAGACCACAACTGTAGCACCAAGTTCATCATCTGATTCCTGACAGCGACCCACGCCAGAAGTTTGGGAGAAAGAGGTTAAAAGAAAAGAAAAAAGCCATTATAAAATTGCACCTGTGCGTATTGAAGTCTCTGGTTGGGTGCCCTTCAACAGCAATGTGCTGTCTCACGCGAATCGTTACTCTCATTAGCTAGGAAAAATGGTACTCACATTTAGTGTTGGTTCAACTTTAATTTTGGGCTCTGGTCACTCAGATCCCGAGGTCTGGGCAACTCCGGTCGTGACCTGCACGCTTCTGCAGTGGCAGGAATTCGTCACTAGAGGGTAGAGGTGTATATGGATTTAAGGCACTCTTCTGAATAGGTGGAAATGATAATATTTGTCTTGGATGTAAGAAATGGCTCAGCTGCTTAAAACTGTTATAAAATGAAAACAAGGCATGGACAAGGAGTTTGCTAATTCCACCAAAATGTTTAATACCGTAATAGAGTTTCACTGAAGTACAGAGCTAA